TGTGGCATATTCCTGTAATCCTGCCTCCTTGGGAGCCAGGAAGGTCTCAAGTTCAAGACCAGGCTGGTCAACTTAAGTAAGATCCTGTCTCAAAATTTAACATTTTTTTGTGTATTCAAAAGGGTTAGGATAAATATATAGCTACGTTCTCTTAATTCAATGAATAGAGGGATTTGTTCTAATAGTGTTTGTTTCTAAATAGGATATCATGTCTGCATCTTGTACAGCAAATAACTAGGAAGACAGTATGCAATGTGTTAATTATTGGAACTATCCTACCAATTTGATTTGAAACTGTCTCATTGCTATTTATTTCTCAATAAAATTAAGGGAAAAGAATATTAAAAAAAAAGAAAAAAAAAAGGACAGAGGAAGTAGCTCAAGGACAAAGGATACGCAAGCATGACTGCCAGAACTGAAAACAGAACAAACAAAACAAAACGAATCAAGATAAGAAAGCAAACACAATGATGAACACTACAATATAAAAGGTTGCTTCTTCGAAACCTAATTCCTATATGCAGTGATTTTCTTTCAAAGAGAGAGCACAGTAAGAAAAGGGGGCAAAAGGGTGACTTTACTCTGACAGGGCAGACTGACTGTGTCTCAGCAGATAATCAAGGTCGGCGTCATCGCCTTGTGAACACCGTGTACTCTTGGTAGGATGGGATAAGAATGGCCCTTTATAGACTCACAACCCCAATTTAACAACAAGAAAGATGCAGATGCGTGAGGGATGTTCTGTGAAGTGTCTGGCCAGTGCTTTCAACACTGTCACAAACAAGGAAAGTCGAAGGAACTTCCAACCCATGAGGAGCATAAGGAGATGTCAAACTAACGTGGCGTCCTGAAACTCAGGGCACAGTAGGTAAAATTACAGACATCTGAGCAAAGGATTGACTTTAGTTAATGGGGGGGGGGGTATTTCAATTGGAGCAGAAGAACTGCACAGGTCTGTGAGATAAAATATGTTTTATTTGTTTTGTTTGTTTAGGGAAGGGTCTACAGGGTGTTCAGGGTCTCACTACTAGATTTGACTTGTAGTGATCTGCCTGTTTACAGCCTCCTAAGAACTGGGATTACAGGCACACCACCACGCCCAGTCTCAATTGCTGTCTCAGTGTGCCCCAGGGGCGGGACTGGCATGGCAGGCCCCAGGATCGAACCCCGGCCCCTGCCCCTGCTTACAGGTGCTTTAATCCACTGAGCTATTTCACTGGCCCAAAATGTGCTGTTTTGATACACTGTGTAATGATCAAACAAAGGAAATTAGTCTTCCAATCACCCCAACGTTGTTTTCCTATAGTAAAACACTTGTAATACTCTTTTCTAGCCATCCACAATTCATTGTTATTGACTATAATTACCATACTGTACAACAGAACTTCTTCCTCTTGTGCTATTGTAAGTTTGTATCCATTGGACCAGTCTCTCCCCATCTTAACATTTTCCAGCTTTGGCTAACTATTATTCTGCTTTCTACTTCTGTAAGATTACTTTTTCATGTTCCACATATGAGTAAGATTATGCAGTATTTATCTTTTTACTTCTGGCTTATTTTGTTCAACATAATGTCCTCTAGAATCAT